GGTATGTTATTGTAAATCATCGGTGGATAATTGTTCGTCAAACACATATTTTGCTATCTTAGGTCACTGATACCAGGTCAGGTCACAGAGGTCAGGTCACTGAGGGTCACAATATGAAAAATGAAAATGTCGTGTGATACTTGTTTTATGGTCCATTTTACATGACAAATGCGATTATGTGGGTAAGACAACCTTTGGGGTCAGTTTAGGTTATGTTCTGGTGAAGGTCAGGTCAAGGTCAGGTCAAATAAGGTCAAATTTCAAAGTTGATATTTTTGCATAAAATTGGTATCGATCCGAAGCAGCTCGTCACGGGGAGTCTACTGGTGGTCTTTGTTTTGCGCTACGTGGTCTAGAATGGCTAAAAGTTGAGTTTGAAAATTTGACGTCATCATTTTTCAACAGTTTTCTCGATATAACCTGGCCACAAAGAGGCAACGATCTGAAATTTGGTATGTGGATAGAAGACGGTAGGTTCTATTATATATATTTCGTTTTTTCGAAATTCGAAAAACTTTTGGGATTTTTTGGCTATTATATCCAAAAATTACTTTTTATTTTGGGGGTCAAAATTTAAAAATTTCAAAAATCGGAGATAGCAGTTTTATAGCCCTGTTAATTCTTCACCTTTTATGTCAGGAACATTTTTCTGTGTTTTGAAAGCTGTAGGCCTGACAGATCTTCTCGCGAAACCTTTTTTGTGGAAAATGACAGAACATGACATCATTCTGACGCCATTTGTGGCCAACCCATCATAGCCTCTGGAAAAATTTTTGGTCACAATGTGTAAAATAGATGTCCGGAGGGGTCCTGAAAGTTTGGTGGCGATATCTGCAGCCGTTTAGGAGATATCTACGGAAAAGGACGGGGAGGGGGGCGTTTCGTTCCTCCCTACGGGGCGCGGGTTAATCATCCAACCCAGATCCGACAATGCATAGGTACCTACTCCGGATGCAACTATTGTACTTAACTTACCTTTCAATTTTGACGATCGCGCCGGTTCTCACCGAAACTATAACTCAAACTTCTGACAAGTTGGGCAGCTCACTCCAACCGCTTTCATCTTGTGCTTTGCTTAAAGGGACCCTCCCACCTTCATAAAAGTTAATGAATTGGCATGAAAGTGATGTCGCTCGGTTCAGAAAGAGCAAAAACGAATATCTACCAAATTTCATCGAAAAATATTCACCGGTTTTCAAGATATTAGACTTTTACTTTTGTTTACTTTTTGGGATCTCCGCGGTTCCTAGCGACTTTATTTGAAAGTGCGGCATTTGTTGCGCGCAAAGCAGCATATACCACCGCGTGCTACAAAACGTTTTAGTCAAACATTAAACGGACATTCGAAAGCCTGATGACGTCATCAGATTCCCGTAATGGTTAAGAGATAGGGACCACGCTGGTCCCACCCTGCAAGTAAAGGGAAGAGATTTCTTGAACACCATAAAGCTGCGGGGGTTGCGACCAGGATAAATGGTGGTTTCTGAGCCTGGCCGCAAACTTGGCTATCTCAACTCAAAACTAATGTTAAGGTGGGAGGGTCCCTTTAAATATTTAATTATTATGCAGTCATGTGCACTGATCAATGTTCTGTTTACCATGAGTCCGGGCAAAAAAGGGCAACCATGAATCAGATATAAACTACAACCCAACCAACCAATAGCAGACAACACCAATTGATGCACTGCCGCGTCCCGCGACCACATGGTTCGATCTGGCTCAGTCTATGATTGATCAGCTGACGCCACAGCAGAAGAAACATGGCGATGTCAGCTTCGATGGACGGACCAAAATATCGTAAAATCTTATTTATATGCAACGAAATAGCCTATAACTGATACCCAAGGTAAATAAAGCAAATTTGTGGCAAAAACTAAGTTCTGGGGGTGCTAAGTGCAATAGTTTTAAGGAGAATATAAGAGAAGTGACCACGAAATAAACAATTTTTATTCTCCGGTTGAGAAACAGGAAATTCAATATAATTTTGAACCAAGCCATGAAAGTTGCATTATTGAGCTATAAAAGTAAGCAGCATGAACTTATCTTCTTGTAGAATGCAAAAAAGTGGGAGGAAACCGTTTTGGTATCAGAAATTTTTCTGGTCCCCCAATACCTATTTTGCGGAGAATCCTAATAATGATGTAGCCGTGTTTGGAACAAATTTGTGCGCTATTGGGATAATATCTTCTTGTGCTCTTTTAATAGAACTATGAAGGAGGTTCAGGGGAAGGTATTGATGCCCTTTATATTTATTACTTTAATTTCTAAAGCCCTTTTCTAGACGCCTCCGTGGCACCGAACAACGGCAAAATTTAAGGTTTTTGAAATAAACCGTACAGAAAAACCGAGGTTACAGAGTTCCCCATAGATGCCGTCACCGGTTTGATAGAATAGAAATAGAATCATAGGGTTAGAGCTGACAGTTTTACCGCTTTGTGATGCATGCATTTTGTGGGACCGTAATATTAGGCTTTATCACAGCCTTATTTTGTCTTTTTTGTTGTTGCTGACAATGAAACAATTTATACTTACTCGTGACTTGTTGACTAGAAGTAGCTCATAATTCTGGAGAGAAAACCTGCAGAGTTTGCCTGGCGGCAGCCGCTGAATGGGGAGGAGCAAGGGAGGAGGGGCCGGAACGGATTCCAGCCAAGCAGCACAGCGGCACAGCTCAGCACAGCTGCCCGTAGGTATGCAAGGACCGTGTGAGCCGGAGCGGAGTTTCGGAGACTGACGGTATCAGGACGGTTCGGTTGCGGTTGGTGTGTGTTTGTGGGGGGGGGGGGGGAGCAAATTCAGTCTCGACTCGTTCGTATAGCATACATTTCTGCTGCTTGTGAGAGCGTCTATCCGGCACTTGCAGGGGGCGGGGTCAAAATAGCTCCTCAGTTTTTCATTAATAACCATCGTGAGGGCGGCAGACCTCGCTGAAAATTGTCACACTATCGTATTGATCAATTGTACATGTTCACTTAAATTTTCATAACCCTGACCCAAAATGACCTTTGTCCTGTGGCCTATTCTTCTCGCCCTTCTCGCAAACATGTCGAGAAAGACGATTTAACGAACATAAGCGCATCTTGCATTTCGTTTCCGGACTTGTTCGTGATAAGAAACGTGCCAACGCGTTGGCACGTTTCTGTGAAAACGTGTGAAAACGTGTGAAATGCTGCCCGTTCCATGCATTATGGTGGGTGTCATGTCAAGATGACGTGACGGCCAGTAACCTGCATGCTAGTAGGCGGACACCGATTCACAGCTATGTTCACACCCTGTTCACTTCATTTCGGTCTACTTCGTTCACTCTTACAGAAAATAACTGAGACCAAAATTTGTCACTGCTGGTGATAGGCGATAGCATAAAAAGTGCACATTTATTAGGCACGAAGAGCATACACAACACAATATGAAGCATTGATGATGCATTCACGTCACAATTCGTGTGATGCATGGCATGTGTAAAAAATGCTGGTTTTGACATTTACAATCATAGTTTGTTCGATTTTAGGTACGTATCATAAGAATTTTGGGCGAGGCACCCACGAGGCACGCAAGTTGGATGTGCGGTGAGTCATTCAATGTAACGAATGTCTTAGTTCTGTGCACGATTTGACCAGCTAGAACACAAATTGTACATTTGAATGTGCTACAATGGATAATATGGATTGACATGAGGAGATTCACGAACAGGATCAAAGCGTCTTCGAATAGTCCACAAAGTCCGTTGGGCGCAGTGCGTAGACCGTTAAGGAGCAGGAACAGCCGGGAAGAGCAGGCCAGGGACCGGTTCCACGTAGGACTGGTCTGGGAGACTTCATTTATGGAGGATCCTGTGGGAAGACCAGTCAGTTGGTTACCATACAGCACAACAAAGGATAACTTTTAGGGATCCACCTTATCCCAAATTTGCGGATTGTGCATGAATCTCGCGGGCCCAATGACTTGATAAATCAATGAGTTATTAATTGAACAAAGCATAAAAACTCCAGAATCGGTTAACGTTCCTTAATTTGCTAGTTCGTTGATGTCTGGGCGACTTTGCGCCAGTCGCTGTTCTTTTGCTAGTCACATTTTGACACAGAGGTGCCGGAGTATAAAATTGGTAAGGAGAATAAAATCTTTTGGACCCGCCCGGGACCAGAAAAGGGGCTCATTTCCAACACTGCTTCTGGCGCAACCAATCATCCAGCCCAGCCCGACTGACCTTCGAGTCTCTGACCCGGAGCGTCGGTGCGGGCCGGACGGCGGCGAATGGCAGCGCGGTCGGCCGACTGTTTGTATCCCGTTCCGTACCCACTCATTTGCCTGTCACAACCCGGCGACGGATATGGATACGTTCCGAGTTGTATTCTGTCCGCGCTGCCGCCGCCGCCGCTCGAGTGGGCGCCGGAGAGAGCGATGGGGAGAGAGGGAGAGGGATGAGTGGAGGATGAGAGGGTTGAAGTAGTGTCGGTGACGACTGACGGATTATGGAGAGAACCTATGTGATTGCGTATGTGTGTGATTGTGTGGGGTGAATGGATGGGTTTTGACGGCGGGGAGCTGTAAGATAGGACTCTGGGGTTGATGCCGAATTCTGGCCTTGATTTTGTTTCGTACAATGTTTTGTGTTTGAGATGCTTTGGATAGGAGGTTTAGTATACGCCGCCGTCAATCCCGTCATTTTTACCGCCGCATCCTTACATATACACAAATGCCACTTTACCACCGTCCCTGCCATCTCAAGCGACGCCGCCGGTGTCTCGCCAGCTCGTTTGACACGTGACCTGTTTACTCTGGCACTTACCTCGAGTGTCGCGTCCGACTAATACATTTCACACTGTGACCCAACGTGTCACCGAGGCCGGTCGCCGCGCCGTTTCTCCGTGTGTCTCGGCGGCGTCCCACGGCGAGGCTGGCCGACGTCCGTTGAACACGTGTCATTCGTCAGCGCTTTTCGGTTTGCACGCGCCGCGCGCATGACGTCACCGTCTGATGAGCGCCGTCCGTCTTCTTTACAGAGCCAAGTCAAAGAACGGCGGCCGAATACTGAGGGAAAAACTAGAGAAGATTGGCCTCAACCTGCCGGCCGGCAGGAGAAAAGCAGCAAACGTCACACTCCTCACCTCGTTGGTCGAAGGTAAGTCACGGACGAGGCTCTAAGGAGAGTTAGGGGTATGTGAGGTGGGTATTCAAACACCAACAGCATGGAAGTCTGGAAGGAAACGTCTGGGAATCATCGAACCGGGTGGTCTTTTGTGAACGGTATGCCAGCATCGTCTCAGGCGAAAGCAAATGGTCCGTGTAGCTGATTGGGCCCCTTCAGCTGCCATGGAGGCCGGACCGTTGCACCTAGCTGATTGCACCCACCATGCCGATCGCCCTGCCTTGCGCGGAAGTGCCAGGAGGTCGTTAGCGTGCGAGCGGGCGCAGCATGCGGCCCAGCACCCGTGGGCGGCCGTTACACGTTGTTGAGGGGCCCCGAGACGTGCGGGGCCGGCTAGGCCGCACACACACACCGTCTGATGGTCCAACGGCGCGCCGAAATTACATGCGGACGCGTAATCGGCATAAAGCCGTCTCACCAAAGGGGAGCCGGCGCGGATTTATCACCGTGATTAGTCGTCATAAATAACGGCGCCGCGCCTCTTCATCAAATTAAAAGGCGAAAGAGTGCGATTCATCAGTGCGCAGGAATCTGCGCAGTGCTCGGCCGCTGACTGGGCGCCACGACCGGCGCGCCCATCTGCGGCGCGCTGCGAACGCCGCGCGCGCGTGGCACCGCCTGATTGCGGCGCGCCGAAAACCCACAGATGGGCGCCGATACCGGGCGGGGCGCGCGCTTTTTGCTGTCGGTCTGGCGCGCGTTCGACACGCAACCTTCTCGGCGGCGCGCCGTCCGGCGCCCGGGGGAGCGTCTGTGGAGCAGCGGGACGTCGGCCGCGCCCCAGCGCCAGGCCCACTCGGCCGAGCCGCCGTCAATGCACCGCGCAACCGAGCGGCCCAGACGTCCTTATGGGGAAACTGGTCGGACCTGAATGTCAAGGCTGCATTTTATGTCTTGTCTGGCGCAGGGACGATGCATTACGTCTTGTCAAGCAAGATAGCATCAAGCCTTACTGGCGATAGGATAATATCATAGACTTATAAAGACTTATATGCACTTATAAGCTGAATGCAATGTTTCTGGGTTCGCGGTATATGATTAGAGTGACAGACGCAGTCCGGCTGCCGACTTTGATTCATGCGATTCTCGACATTCACTTCGATAGTCATTCGTCAACAAACCGACAGCACTGAACTACCTAGCTGCAATGGTATGTCTTATACGCTTTATAGGGTGGGCCCATCCCATCCACGTCCGAGCTTTGCATGTGTTGTTCAGTTGCAGAGTGGCTGCATGAATCAGGTATTTGCGCAACAAATCGCTTATCTTTGAACTGTTGCGACTTTTAGGCTTGTTTTCCTTATCGTTTGTGGTAGTGTAGCGAGATTTCGCGGCGTTGCGGGGCTAACCGGGCGGTCGCTTCTCAGCAGGTGGGCTGGCTCGAGTGGGGGTGTTAAAATCGGCCTAATGGGTGCGCTTCTACTCGTAAAAGCCCTTCTCGGTTCAGCCCCTCGCGAACTCGTCCCGACTCTGTCTTTGCATTCTCCGGGGCGATCAATCATCGGAAACACATAGGCCAGGGTTAGGGAATGGGAGATAATGATAAATGATAATCAATTACCCTCGATCATATTGGTATAGAAAATCAACTCTATTTAACAAAAAGTCCCACTCTCAAACAACAGCGCCTTTCCTAGCTGAGGGCTATCTCCCACCGGATATACACAACAATCATACTTCCACTCGTGCATCCCTTCTCACTTCTGTCATACGTCCAGTTATACCTCATAATTATCAGAGTTAGCCGTCTCCGATCCCTCCCTCTTTGCCTAACTTCCCCCGGTGGTGCTAAGGCGTGCGCAAGTCATTATTGAGTCATTGGCCTTAAATTTCATTAACCGTTATCCCTTCATAACCACAATGCTCCGTACATCAGACAAACGCTTCATAATGCTCACGCTACACGAATAGAATATACGAACCACCACAGATTTCGGCACTCCGCCCTTGAATTACGCGACTTATAGCGGGTCCAAGACCATGCCGAACTACCTACACACAAATAATAAACACACACGCACGCAGGTTGTTGAGCGAACAATGGACTTACAGCATGGGCCGGTAAACCTTTGCAACAACGTACGCAGCCCTTGTCTTACTGCCACTCACGCGTGGACCTACCTTCTGCTGCCAGTGGTCAGTCAGCATCTCTAACACACTCCAGCCCACGGTTCCGGAGCTAGAGCTCGCAGGGCACTCAGTAGCCCGGGCTTTCCGCGGCGGACGTATCTAAAATTTGAAAGCCGGGTTGGGTAACTAAAGTCCGTCCGTGATACTAATGACCGCATCTCGCACCAGCCATAGTTCAGGGTTTCCGGGCCAACCCGGCGACCTAAAAAAAGGTTAGCTCTCGTCGGCTAACTACAAAGACGACACGCGTCTTCCACGCACGCAGGTCCACTCGGGGATATCCTGCACTCAACACACATCGTCGACTACCAGCACATAGGCGTCCAAAGCCCTATCTATCCGTGGCTGGTAGTTAAGCTGTCGTCACAGACCTATTCGAAAGGACCAGAGCATGGCCGGAGCTACTCGACTGACTGCGGGTGGCCAGCACCGTCTGACTGCGATCACCCGACTCGAATGCTCGGTATCTAATGTTCACCCCCGTCTTGCGGCATTATACGTTCCTTCGCGGGGCATTACTCTTCCGGCGGCATACGATTCCCTCGCTAAGACGCCCGGGGTCCTAACCACCTCCGAAACTATCTATGTCGCTCTTCAAATGACGTCCCGCGCCGACCACTTGAGGGACCGATAGCGGGCCTACCTATCTTTTTGAAACCGGGCTGGGTAACTAAGGTCCATCCGTGATACTGATGACCGCATCTCGCTCCAGTCATAGTTCAGGGCTTCCGGGCCAGCCCGGCAGCCTAAAATCTGCCCAGCCTCCGAGGCTGTTAATCCGAGACGGAACACCGTCATCTCGCGGCGGCCCACCCGCCGATACACATCCCAGGCGACGGCCCACGTGACCTTAATTATCACACAGGCCTACCCTGGGCCGGAACAATCGGGCCACTGGTCCCGTGTCCCGCTAGCCAGAGGTTAGACAGACTACAGCCCGTCGTCCCCTCCGAGCCAGGACACGAGGCTGACCGGGTAACATTTCTTGAAACCCTCCTCGGCGGTCTGTGCCCGACTCGCCTTCATCCTCACGTTTAATTTCGCGACTTATTGCACGCATCCAGGGCTTACTCAATCGAGGCCTTATATCTAGTGGGGTCTGTCCGAGTTTAGCGCCATTCGGGAAACCCGATTTTTCTATTTGTACAGTCCGCGTCTCTACTCGCGTCTCATCTCCCTCCTAACCCATGGCCGCGTCGGTGGATTCTCCACGCACAGGGGCGTGACGTGCATCATCTATCTCCCCGGTTCCATCCCTTGCAGTGTCCATGTAGAATAAAATTACATATATTTCGTGTGCAACAAGGTCTAGTGTGTTGCTTGTGTGCGGACCGTTGGTAAATTGATTAGTGGAGTGCCAGGAAATCCGCTGGCGAGGGCATTTGGGAGTCAACCGGAGGAGCTCCAGTATCGGTTGGGCTAGGGAGGTCCTGTGTATGTTGTGTGTAATCGCTATTGTTTGGACCGTGGGATAATTTGGGGAGGATGGAGTGCCAGGAAATCCACTGGCAAGGGCACTTAGGAGTCAACCGGAGAAGCTCCAGTATCGGTTAGGCTAGGGAGGTCGTGTGTGTGTTGTGTGTAATCGCTATTGTTTGGACCGTGGGATAATTTGGGGAGGATGGAGTGCCAGGAAATCCACTGGCAAGGGCACTTAGGAGTCAACCGGAGAAGCTCCAGTATCGGTTAGGTCAGGGAGGTCCTGTGTGTATTGTGTGTAATCGCTATTGTTTGGACTGTGGGATAATTTGGGGAGGATGGAGTGCCAGGAAATCCACTGGCAAGGGCACTTAGGAGTCAACCGGAGAAGCTCCAGTATCGGTTAGGCTAGGGAGGTCCTGTGTATGTTGTGTGTAATCGCTATTGTTTGGACCGTGGGATAATTTGGGGAGGATGGAGTGCCAGGAAATCCACTGGCAAGGGCACTTAGGAGTCAACCGGAGAAGCTCCAGTATCGGCTAGGCTAGGGAGGTCCTGTGTGTGTTCTGTGCTCCCCGTATAATCCCTGTGTGCACTGTGTAAAATCAAACAGATAAAGAAAACTGATCGTTGTAAATTGCTCTGGCCAGACACCTTGGAAATGACCTCTTTCCCGACTGTGGGTTGGCATATGGCCTTTTATGCTCCATCCTCCGATCCCTGCCCTTCAGCACTATACTCACACTCGTATTTCAATATTTACAAGTCCCATTTATTTACATACTCCGACGCAACACCTTAAATTCCCTTACACGTCAAATTTAAAAGAAACATTCTGGGCCCAGGCCGCCCATCAACTGAGCCCCACAAGCCGCGCGGTGCGGTACACAGTCGCCCGTCCCTTTCCAGACTCCCCACGGTGTATAATCCCCTCCGTCCGCCTTAATCACCACGGGGCGCCGGACGAGGGTCCACGTCGGCACGCGTCTCGCGCCACGCGCACAGTTACATAGTTTACCGAAATCGAATTGTGAACTTAAGCTACCTAGACTGAAAGTCCCAAGAATAAATTTAACTACCTAAACTGAATGGCCTAAAACATTGCAGACGACACCTAAAAAGGGGAATATAATGTGGCTCACATAGCAGTAACGAGGGGGGGGGGTTACTTGAAGGATTTTAGGGACTAGGTGCGCACCCGTGTTCACCGCGTGACCTTACTTGAGATGGAGTCGCTGACATGATGGTCGTGTCCGTCCAGCGCCCGGCCCGGCGGCCAGAGCCGCGCCGCCGGCGCCGTGATGCCAGCCGCTGGTGTCTCGTGGGCTGTCCGCGATGTCAGACGAGAGACGTGGGCCGAGAGTGCCACCGGCGCGGGATGCGTCGTCCGAGAGAGCGAGGACCAGAGAGCGTTCCAGTTCCGT